GTAATTGTACGGCATCATAGTCTGCAAATGCAGGGTGGGCGAGTGATAGCTAGTGTGATGAAAGAGTATCATGTACACGTCACGCACACGTGATGACGAAATACCAACATCCATGCAAACGAAATACGGAAGGATCAAAACAGGGGAAAAAAACTTATGCACCAAACTAATATTAAGGGGCCTATTTCATAATGTTGTCTCATTATGTTGGTAAAGTACGAGTTTTGCACATTTAACAGCATCATGATTCACATAAAAGCAAAATGCGATCGAACATGCGAACATGTTCGGTCGCCTTTTGTTTTGTGAACGACTTCTACGGAAATAAATGAAAAAAATACCTTGAGGAATTTCTGGGAGGGAACCACTGATAGGATTTTTTCTGCCACTTGACGTGGAACCACGTAAGCCATTCCTCGACAAAACACCGGTAATTCACTTCTACTCCATTCTTCTTCTGTAAGTCTCCTGCCAATATGTACATTTTCAACGACGTTTCAACAAGACCTTTATTGAGATCATATCTACAGTGGACGGTGGGGCGTTCCCTACGACCACGCCGGCGAGCGTTCCGCTGATTGCGTGTCGATGGAAAGCCGAGAAATTCCAGGAAATTATCATCATTGCCTCCTCCGTCTCTGACACTGACTCTGCGCTCTAACACACCCCGCCGCGCCCTCTACTCACTCTTCCGTCCTGCACTCTCGCCGATCGATAATGGCTGACGCTGCCGATCAGCTGATTCCTGCCGCATTTTCTCCGAATTCCTGCCATATTCAGCTTGAAAAAGCTGAGATTTTTCGACTTTCGGCTTCAATCGTTGAAGGTGAGTATTCTTACTAAAATTGTATCACAATTTGCATGAATTTAGCTTGAAATTCCCTAGAAAACATTTTTTTCCTTCTGATTTTCGCAATTCGTCCAAACTTTTCCTTATTGTCCCCACTTCTTTTGGTGCTAACGTATTTGGGGGGGGGGCCACTCGGCTCGCGGCGAGTGATGACTCATCTTCGCTTCTATGCTCCCTCCGCGGCGAAATAGCATCTGCGTGGCTGGTTGAGGCCGGGAGGACTTCTTCGAGGTAACATAACAGTATTGTGTTTAGGACATGAATATGAACCACCCTAGAATGCTATTTTGGAAAAGTAAAACCCTGAAAAATACGGAAAAAAACTGTAGGCTAGAAAATCGAATTTCGAGCGGTTTTTTCACAGCAAAATCAAACATTTCTGGTTTATTTATTCACTAGCACTTGAGATGAATGACCAGTATTCGTTTCTTGTGTGCCCTTAAGAGGGCCGTTGGGTTAGTCATGCTCAGCGGATGGGATACTGGATCGAGATGAGCCGCCACAGTTCGTACAGCAGATGTTCACTGTTGTATGGCCACTTCCAGAGAACTTCGATGAAACGTCATCCCCAAGGTTGCCTTTGAGACCATGCCGTCGTCGAATCTTCTCCTTCAGTTG